GTATGATGTTTGAATTCTTGACTCGTCACAAGGATGCATTTACTAGGTATCATTTTCCGCTCTATTTCTCAAAGCAGGTTATTTAGGAATAGGTCATTTATAAGTGTATAATTTTCGATTTCTCAAAACATTAACCCATTCACTGAAATTGTATCTGTTGAATGATATTATTTTTCAGATTATTAAGCAAATGATATTCATGGTAATGAGAATGGATTATTTATATCTATAAAATTTATTTAGTATTTTCAATATTTAATCTTCAATAATTAATACTTTTTTAGTTTCCAAAAACATTAATTATCAAAGTCTATTATCCAAGTTGTCAAACAAACAAATTGTTACGTATCATTTATCTCATTCATTTCTATCCAACTAGGTAGATATTGATTATCAATTATACACTAGTATATAATTCCTAAATTTATGGGATCGCTAATAATAAATTATAATTAAGCATATTTGATCTCATCTATGCCTCGGAACTCTCTTCTTTAGATATCATTTATCACAAAAGATTTCCGATCAGATCATCCAATTTGAACAACTTGTATAATCGGCCTATGATTTTATTATAGAAATCGTGAATACACTATGTCCATCAAAAGATAACACTAAGTGGTTAGTTTACATTTATCCCACTAGTGCATACAGGAGATGTACGAATGTTTTACAAAACGGATTGCATAGATTTGAGGTTTATAGGGTCTTTGATGTTTTTATAATTCTAGTTTAAAAAAAACATATTAGATCATGGTTATTGCATTCATCCAATAAGTCATGGTATATTTTTAAAAAGTCTTATTTTATGTAAAATCACATTTTGACAATGTACTTTTATAAAATCCGGTTTTATAAAATTGACGCGATCAAATTTTAAAATTAATAGCTATATTAAGTTTTACCATTTGAGCGGTTTAGAAAATTTGTAAACCTTTTAATAAAACTTCCTTTTATAAAATAAAGTTTGGAGTTTGATAAGTTTATAAAATCTCTATTTTAAACTTATGTTAATTTTAATCTCGAAATTTACCATTAGCTAGTGTTTAAATGATAAAACTCACTTTATTTTAAAACTGTTTTACCATCTTATGTTAAAAGGTAACTAAATGTAAAACTCAAATTTTAATCTCAAAAATCACATTAAAACTCGTTAATTATTATTTATTTTTGTTCTCATGCATCGTTTTTCACTCATTTTCATTCTGACAGAATACGACCCAATAAACATTCTGACAACATTTTGACAGAAATGAGACTAATAATAATAAGTGTATAATAACCTTATAGACGATTTAATTAGTGATAATGTGTGTTAATGACAATAGTTATGTAAGATTGAACGTATTTATAGTATCAAACAACATATTTTCTTTATCATTCTCAAAGAATAGCATTGTCCATACGTCCGCACAATATTTAGTTAGAATATAATAACCTAAGCCTATATAGAGCTAGGTTCAAGTATTCAAACTAATTATTGTGCAGATGTGTGGACAATGTTATTCTATGAGAATTACTAAAAGAATAAGTTGTTTAGTAATGCGAATACGTTCAACCTTACAAAAATATCGTCATTTTCATGCATTCTCGCTAATTACTATTTATTTTTGTTCTCACACATCGTTTTTCACTCATTTTCATTCTGACATAATACGACTCAATAAACATTCTGACAACATTCTGACAGAAATGAGAATAATAATAATAATAAGTGTATAATAACCTTATAAACGATTTAATTAGTGAGAATGTGTGTTAATGACAATAGTT